AAAAGGAGGTTCTACAGGCTGCTGGATTATGAAATGGACTTCTCCATTTTATTTTTATTTAATAAATAATGTCAATGTCAAATTTATTTATACAGCACAATGAAAACAACAAAAGCTGCCAAAGTGCTTTACAGTTCAGTCAAGACTTGTATCAAAAGACAAACAAATAATAAATACAAATACAATACAGAAACAGACTATAATACATAAAAGCTCTGAACTTCCAACTCAGTGGAAGTAACACAGTGGAAGCTGTTGTGTTTTTGCACACTTGAGGTTCAACATTATTTTAGAACCTGATAAAGACCAAATTTTTTTTGACCTGATGGATAAAAAATCTTATAATTAAAAGGTGTTTTGTATTTACCACAAGGTTATCATTTTCACAGAACCCCACTTTAAGGCTGTAACTATTTTTCAAACTTAACACCAAGGCYGGTTTAGCTGCTATTCTGAGTCTAAATGCCGAGTTTCAAACTAAATTTATCTACCAAACAAACGGGAAAAGAAAAAAAAAATCCCATGTACTTTTGAGTCTCAGCACTTTAAAGTTGAGTGGGGTGAGTTTTCGGTGTTGTTCTTAACATGACATATGACTGAAGTGTGGCTGGTGAGAATTTGCACTCATGGTGTGATCCTGCCTCACACTGCTCGGGCCACCAACCACCCATCAGAGCAGATGAGAGCACCAGGTTTCACTGTGAGTATAAAYACATTTAAGACATCTCATAAAAAGGTGTAACACGAGAAGCAAAAGAAGCAGAAATAGTGTCTGTGTACTTGAGCGGAAAAAGCAGCTGTAAATTCAAAGCTTGCTATCACAACAAAAGCAGGACTGACCGACTTCCTTTCTTGTAAACGCACAAACGTCACAGGAAAAAAAAAATCAGCCAGAGCCCTGTCTGTAGGACAAAACATASTGAAAACAGACCGCTCCGGCAGGGGAGACCACTGGGTGGGTCTGGACGGGTCATTCTGAGCTGAAAGCTTGTGGCCTGAGGGAAGGAGCAGCGATGAACCAGCCTCATGAGAAGAAAAGGAGACGAGAGTCCTGCTGCYGTCTATCAGCTGCAGAGCTTTTCACAGACACTGCAGGGGGTTAAAAGCCACCTGGCTGCCAGGTCTTGTGAAAAGAAAAGTGTTGCAGCCAGGTTATCAAATGAATATGAAAAAAACTGATCCCAGACAAGACAAGACAAGCCGATAAACAAAAGACAGTCAGAAGAATTCATGAGAAAAAAGACCACTTCTACAGAAAGTAACCTCAAGACCACAAACAGCAACTTGGTAAAACAGAGTTCCTAAACATGTCCTGATGCATCAATCCAGGTAGAAAAATCAAAAAAGATAAATAAGTAAGTCCTCTGGACGGGTTCTTCATCTCGACTTCTTCAGTCCGAGGAGTTTCAGGTGAACTCAGTCAAGGCTGAGTCCAGATGACTTACTTGTTTTTCTTTTTTGAGTTCCTAAACATGTTTTATCGAAATTACCCATTAACTTGAAGGCGTGGCAGTGAGTGAGCTGACAAAWATGTGCATTAATTGTCGAACACGTCACTCCGTAGTCACGAGCTGTACCCCGTGTCACATCCAGAGTGACTTCATCTGTTTCTKCTCAAGGATATCCCTCTCTTTTCTAGGCACAATGAGCCCGCTTCCTGTTTAAAGGAGGTCCAGTCCAGTCCAGTGCTCTTCCACCCTCCGCTTACGTAATTTCCCTGTCGTCGGGCTGACGTTCCTGCAAAGATACTTGATCTCTGTAGAGCAAAGAATGAACGTTTTACTTTAAAAAAAAAAGCCTAGAAAGGCTTCTACTGTGGGAGGAAAAGGTAAAAAGAAAGAAAMTGTTGTTTATTTGTTGAAATAGAAATGGTTGACTCATCAGAAAGTAATCGTCAAAGGGGAAGATTACAGAAGTGAAGAAAGTGAAGGACTTTCACTTTCAGAGACAAACAGCGTGAGAACCTAGATAAAGAYGTGCAAATATTTATTTACGAGCTTTAGTAATGCTAATTAGCTACTTTTGTATTTGTTTTTWGTTTGTTTGGTCAAGTAATGCTTATTTCAGTTCCCATTTTTAAACACGTGTATCTGTAGATACACGTGATACACTTCAGTTGATTTACATCTATTGAAGAATTACCCCCATTTTATTCAAAATGGACACAACAAAAACAGAACAACATGAAGGAGAAGCTGGATTTTACTTCCAAATGATTGTTCAAATGATTGTTTATAATTGCTTTTTATTACTGACAAATGACTTTTGAAGAAATTACCCTGGAAAGTAGTTCTCACAGGATTTTCTTTTCTCTGACAAATTTCTCAATAAAGAACCTCAGGGCCTGTTTACATGACGCTGCTTGTAGTGAAGCTGTAGCATTTCTGCTGCACTTCAGCTGACTGCCAGGGGTTCTCAAGCCATATGGGTCTGGGGACCCCTTACAAGGGCGAAAAAAAATTCCAGGGACCCCCTCATAAACCCCATGCTGTTTTAAAAGATAATTTATTGTCATTTCAAGCCCTAAATGCCATGGGAATACATATTTTTTTTACTAAGTTCATTCTGTTTGTTTTATTAGTTCATTGTTCTCCATGCA